CTCGCAGCCAGACGAAGGCAGCAACGCGAGAGAAGCAGCAGCAAAAGTAAGACAGAGCTGCAGCAGCCTCCGTGCTGATCCACTGCAGCAGCAGCAGCCGGTCTTGGTGTTGCTGCTGCTGCTGCTGCTGCTGCTGCTTGAAGGGCACCTGCATGCGCAGGGACTGCAGCCGAGCCTGAGCAGCAGCAACAAAGGCAGCAGCAGCAGCATGGAGGCTCTGGTGTTGCTGCTGCTGCAGCGCAGCACCTAGCAGCAGCATCGGTAGAATTCGATCGAGATGTTTTGCTGCTGCTGCTGCTGCTGCTGCTGCTGCTGCTGCTGCTGCATGCTGAAGCCTCTCCTCCACCAGCAGCTGCTGCAGCACTTGCCAGTCGAGGCACAGCAAACGAGACAGCCACATCCTCAGCTCACAATCGTGCTGCTGCTGCTGCTGCTGCTGCTGTTGCTGCTGCTGCTGCTGTTGCTGCTGCTGCTGGGTGGTGCAAGCAGCAGCAGCAGCAGCAGCAGCAGCAGCAGAAGCAGCAGCAGCGTCGCTCGATAGGCACTGCAGCACCTGTAGAGGTGCGCCCCAAAGGGGCCACTTTTCTGCTGCTGTCGCCGCTGCTGCTGTTGTTGCTGCTGCTGTTGCTGCTGCTGTTGCTGCTGCTGTTGCTGCTGCTGTTGCTGTTGCTGCTGTTTCTCCTTCAACAGAGCCTGTTGCTGCGCTGTCGACAGCAGCAGCAGGAGAACTGCATGCGCTTGAGCACTTCCTGCTGCTTTTGCTGCGCCGGTTGCAGCATCTGCTGCTGCTGCTGCTGTTGCTGCTGCTGTCGCTGTTGCAGCTGGTGCTGCAACAGCTGCTGCTGCTGCTGCTGCTGCAGCTGCTGCTCTCGGATGCACAATCACAGTTTACAGCATCCGCCTCGTGGATCTTGATATGCGCAAGCCGCTGCTGCTGCTGCTGCTGCTGCAGTTGCTGCTGCTGCTGCTGCTGCTGCTGTGGCTGCAGCTGCTGCAGATGCAGCTGCAGCTTTGCTGCTACCGACGCCCGAATGATGTCGGTTATCTCCAGAGCCAAGGTAGGGGTGGTAGCCAGTGTCTCTGCTTCATCTTGCTGCTGCTGCTGCTGCTGCTGCTGGTGTCGTTGCTGCTGCTGCTGTTGCTGCTGCTGCTGCTGCAGCATGTGTCTTTGCTGCAGCTGCTGCTGCTGCACATGGGGTTTATAAGCCGCAGCAACACAAAAGGCAACATAATCTAATACTTCAACTTTGCATGACAGCAGCAGCTGCTGCAGCAGCAGTTCTGCTGCTGCTGCTGCTGTTTCCAGCTGCTGCAGCCCGACTGCTGCTGCCTGCAGCAAACCAACATAAACCACATACGTCTGCACATGCACCGCAGCAACACTTGCTGTCCCTGCTGCTGCTGCTGCTGCTGCTGCTGTTGCTGCTGCTGCTGCGGTGTTGCTGCTGCGCAGTGGTGTTGCTGCACTGTGTGGGGTGCTCCTGCTGCAAGCAAACGGCGAGGCAGCAGCAGCAGCAGCAGCAGCACTTGCTGCTGCTGCTGCTGCTGCTGTGAGGCGCCGATGAAGAATGGGCGTGTTAGCCCTGCGGCTGCCAAGGGAGAGAGCTGCTGCTGCTGCTGCTGCTGCTGCCCTGTTTGCTGCTGCAGCAGCTGCTGCAGGTGCTGCAGCAGCAGCAGCAGGTTTCACTCTGGGGGTGCAGCTGAAAGGAGAAGCAGCAAACGGGGTGTATAGGCAGCTCCGTTGCGCGTCTGCCTGCTGATTGCATGCAGCAGATACTCCTTCTTGCTGCTGCTGTTGCTGCTGCTGCTGCTGCTGCTGCTGTTGCTGCTGTTGCTGCTGCAGCAGCTCATCACTTGTTTGTTTTAATCGGGGTGTTCGCGCAGCCTCATCAACTCCAAGCTGAGAAGACAGCAGCAGCAGAGCCCCACTGTCCTGCTGCTGCTGTTGCTGCTGCTGTTGTCGCTGCAGCTGCTGCTGCTGTTGCTGTTGCTGCTGTTGCTGCTGCTGCTGCTGCTGCTGGTTGGATGTACGCGCAAGCTTTCGACGAGGAGTTTCTGCTGCGTCAGCTGCTGCTCCCCGCTTTGCACGGCTATAAGCTGCTGCTGCTGCTGCTGTTGCTGCTGCTGCTGCTGTTGCTGCTGTAGTAGTAGCTGTTGCTGCTGTAACACCTGGAGCTCCTGCTGCTGCTGCTGCTGCTGCTGCTGTGGCCGTGGCGAAGGGAGAAACTCGGATGGGGGAAAGCGGGTTGTACAGATGCCTGCTGCTGCTGCTGCTGCTGTTGCTACTGCTGCTGCTGCTGCTGCTGCTGTTGCTGCTGCTGCTGCTGTTGCTGCTGCTGCTGTTGCTGCCTTGTGT